GTACTTCTTCCAAGATCTCTCATTTTAACTCAAAACCATTTGGTACACAACCTGTTCCCAAAAGATAATGTGCCATCCTCATGAAACTTAAACTCTGGCCGCAAACCATTCCTTAATGAGCTAAAATTTATTAGCCATTTAATCCATAAATTCAAGAAATAAAAGTTTCTTTTTACTTGTTCTTATCCAAATAAGTTTGAGATTTAGATTTACTTTCATACAAAACCTCAAAATGAATCATTGAATGTTTATCTTATGACTATTGTTATAATAAGTTTCTCTCCAAGTCATGACTTAAGCATTGCTTAGAAAAATGTCTACCATTGATAAAATCTCTAAAACTAGAAGGAACACAAAATATTCTTACCTAAAATATTGATGCCCAAAATTCATTAATCTTTATTTATTAAAGATTCATCACTTTCTCGACTAATAATAGCCCAAGAATTGATAATTTAAACCAAATCAAGCTTTCGCTGCATACTATAATATTTTCTTCTATTAAAACTCTAAAATAACAAATTAAATTTCATAACCTTGTTTCATGACAAGAAAAATGTATGTCCACAAAATTTCATGCAATTTGCTTCACGCTTGGTATTCATAACCATATATAACCTTAAAGTTGAATAATAATATTAACAAATCATTTAGTCACTAAAAAAATATCACATAGTACTTTAATTTTCTTTTCTTCTCCACCAACAATATGAAAATTTCTATCAATTAACCATTATAAAACATATGAAATCGATGTAATAGATCATATCCATAAATTTATACTATGTAAATTCAAACATAAATCTTTGGTTAACCAAGTTGTCTCCAATTTTGAATATTGTTATTTCTAATTTAATAAACCAATCAACTAATTCTCTACAATCTTCACCAAAATCATAATGTCTCAAATTTTCTTTTTACGAAATATATTGCTATCAACTCTTAGTTCAGGTTAAAAGCTATGTATCATAACTCATAAATAAAATTTTCTTGTAGAATTTAAACAATAAAACTTCCAAATACTTGAATTCATGCCAAAAGTATAGTTATGAACAACAACTAAATGCATCACACCATTTCATAACATTTTTCAAATTTCTCTAAAATCGAGTATATGCTCAGCATCACCAAGTACACAAAATCATCACTAATTATTAAGACATGATCATAAAATGAACAATCTTTTGCACTTGTAAGATTTCAAACAATCATTAACCAAAACATATATATTTTTTTGTAAATTGATTGCTCCTTCAAAATTAACTTCTTTACTAAATCATCTAGATAACCACAACTTTAATTTTTATCCATAAATTTAATTTCTTGCTAAGCACATAGCCTTGTACAACAATAGGCAATGTGTTTCATAAATATAAAATTCAAAGGAATCCAAAATATTAGACTTCAATTATAAACTATAACCACAAATAATCACTTTGACAATTGAGAAAACTCTTTACACTTCAAGTAGAAACTTCAAATTAACTATACAAATGTCCAACTCATACGATCAAACCTTAAATACTTTCTAAAGAAAAATGTAGAACCAAATCAAGTGAATATCCTTCTTTACGTATATAAAACTATTTACCATAATTATAATATTCATAACTAAATCTATCAAGACATTCTCTAACATTGTAACTGAGAATTAATTACTTCATAATTTCATCATTTCATTCAAACTCTAATATTCTATACTTTAATTCTAACAATGTACACTCATATTTCACTCTTAATCCATGATTAAGGATTCACTTTACACTTATCAAATACTTCAAAATCTCATTAAGTCGAAAGTCTTTTCTCAAACCCATAGGATTTCCAAATATTAAATCATTTTCTTGATTAATTCTTTAACTCATAAAATATGTCTCATTATAAGTTGCATTGAAAATCTCTTCAACTTATAAAATCGCACTATATCAAACTAATTACACTTTCTCTTAACTACAAGATTCAAAAGCAATATGTAAATATCAACCAAAATAATTACACCAAGAATTCATTGAATCATTGATTCCTCAAAATTCATTGAAACTTTAACTATTCCAAAATTCATCGAATCATTTACTTATACTCACCACTATAGTCTATGGATCAAAGCCACTATAGTCTATGGATCAAAGTTATGTCCTTGGAAAATCATCACATAATAAGCTTGCTAAGCCACAATTGCCTACTCAATAAAACATTTTTTTCTTCTTTATTCTTTTCTTTTTATTTTTCTTTTCTTTTCAAGCTTTGGACAATGGTTTACAAGCGATCACTTTATAAACCTATCAAACCTAAGGGGCAATTGTTACACCCAACTTACCTAGTCAAAACCTAGATTTTTGGGTCACCTAGGTAAGGCACGCCAGATTGCCATGTCATCTACCCCTAAGGAAATGACTTGCCCTCTAGCAAATGAAGGATTTGCCTAACATCCTACTGACATCTCATGAAGGCAATCATTTCAGGACTAACTACTTGGCCTTCAACTTGTCTAGGACCATTAAATGTAGCCCATGCTTTTCCTGAGATCATTAAATGTGATTCATAGCTACCCATGTGAACCTTCATCGAGCTCTATGTATACATCCCATCAACTGTCAACTATTAACTGCCCTAGTCTTATCACCGACCATCATCCCATACCTAAGGTAGTAAGGAAACCCAAGTATGTAAGACACTCCCATACTACACACATTCATGCTTTCCTTTCTCTGAAAATTCCTACACACACATCACCATCTCCCCTCCTATTTCTTTCCTTACTCCACCTCAAACATTTAAATGACTTGAGCATTGAAAGCACATCCCGGAGCAACAATTTTGGTGCCCCCTAACAGTGTTCTTTAGCTACAGGTTTCAGTTGTCTTCCCTCAACCTCACCTCAGCACACCAAGCTAAGACAACAAAAAACACCATCAACATTTCTCAAGGATTATCTCTATGATATCTAATGAAAGATTCCTGAGTCTATCTATGGCGGTTTTTCAGCTTCTAATAAATGTTGAATAGGTTTTTCTTACTTTCCATTCTTGATGTAGGAGGAAAAGATCCCTACATAAGCTTCAAAGCCAAAGCAAATAGAATATATAGTTGAAAATTCTCATACACTTGTATACTTCCAAGGAAATATTATATTGATTTATACAGGCTCTAGAATCCTAATTCCAAAAGAAGTAGAACTTTGAGATTCTATTTCAATTAGGATTAAGACCTCAACAAACACATATAATTTGAGTCCAAGTAGGAAAAGGAAAACACAAAAAACAAACAAATATTATAAGAAAAACCAAAAACAAGATAGTAAACTGGGTTAATGGTACAAATGATGATTGGGTTAAAATGGAATGTTTAATATGATAACTGAATTTAAAAAAAATTTAATATGATACATGAATTATAAATACATTAGTTAATGTAATACTTGAAAGTGTCTCATTATTTGAAGTTAATCACCATGTGAAAAGTGAGTATCACATTAATTAATAAATTCATAATTTATTTACCACATTAAAAATTTTGGATATTTAAATATCACATTAAATATTTCAATATAGTTTAAAGTTATTTGTAACATTAAACCAACCCTAATGTAAGTGATAAAAACACTAGCATTAATCAGCAAATCAAGATACAATAATTATAAAACCATTTCATTCTTCTTTATGCATAGCACAATGATTGTTTAATTTAATTAGTTCATACAATTATTTTTAAGAGATGGTATTCAATAAGTTTGATGTTCAAATATCATCATTTACAAGGTTTTTCCCCATATTTAAGTCACATCCTCCTATGTAAAAATGAAACATTATTTCTTGGTAAACTGTCTTAAACATATTAAATTTCTCAAGGTGAGAAAAAAATCAATAGCATTTATATAATATCATATCATCTTATTTTTAAATGGAAAATTATTTAATACTTTATAAAAACTCTATCAACGAAATTAGAAAATTGTTGTACAGCATAATAAAATATTTAACATATAAAAAGATACTGCATCTAAAATATAGTATACCTTCTATAATAAGGGATGGATCTTTGGCTCACATCACCAGTTTTATAAACAATTTCCTCGATCAAAAACCAATAAAGATATCATACAAGCCATTCTTATGTTCTTCTCTAATCAGTCAATCAACTTCATCTTTATCATAAAGATATAAAGAATGTCCTTGACAGGCAAAATGAACTGACTTAGACATCCATAAAGTCTCACTAACAATTATTAGCTAAACCAAAAATATACATATATCAAACCAGAAGACAGGCTATATGCTATGTTTGGATGGACCGTGGACCGTTCGGTGAAATGGACGGAGAGCTCCTCTTTCCACTGGTGCAGTGCTGTGGTCCAAACATATCCAAAAACCGAAAAAGTTTATCAGCAGAAACTTCTCTATTTTAGAGGAAAAAGAAACTCTTCATAGCATTATCAAAATAGTACTAAACGTACCACATCAAATTCTCCTCTTCCAATCTTCACAAAATCACTTCTACTACGTGCTCGACATCCTTAAAATGCACAATCAACCAAATTTGAATGCAGTGAAATTTTTAATGTCCGGTGTTGTGCACTTTGAGCATTCTAACATGCATGCAAATGTGAATATGTTTACATGCACTGAGGCATGAGTTCCATTGTATTTACCTAACAGTATCAATCTCAAATTGCCAAAGATAAGAAGCATTACCTTAATCAAACTCGAGAAATCATGACCCTGCGAAAAGGTAGTATTTCTAAAGATAAAATAAGAGATATTATAAGCTCAATCAACTTCAATTGACAAAGTAAAACAACACAAGAACCCTATCCACTCAAGGTTTTTTCCCTTAACGAGTAAGAGAGCAAATAGTCACCCAACTAAAGCGTTTATAGAAGAACCCAACTATGAGTCAAAACATAAAATAAAGCAGTTCAACCACATCATATAAACTGGTAACAGAATGTAGCTAATCAAGATCTAAAGCAAAGGGGATGGACATACCAAAATAAACTTCACTTAATCCAGATCTACAATATCATAGCTATATACACTTTATTTCATATTACAAACTTTGGAATACAGAAAAGTTCGAACAAATTATTTATATATGAAGGAACCCAGAGGAAAAAGAAAAAGAGAAAAAGCCAAGTGTAAAGGATGAAAGTTTAAGGGAAAAGAAAAGTTGGGGGAGATCTGGGCAAAGAAATCTAAATGATAGTCCTCACACCTATTGCAAATGGTGACCACAGTTTTCATGATCTAAAAGTAGTACCCTATATCCAATAAGAGTAACTCCATCTCATCAATGAAGTCCATGCTTAACGGTAAAACCTTTAAGTTACCAACATAACTCTGCTTTCTGGTTCCAACAACTCTCAAGCCTTAAATTTTGGCTTTATGATTTCTAGACTTTGAAAAGATTAACTACTCAAAACTGGCATGAAGTTCCAAGCCTCTGTCTCTGCCTCTGACCCACACTCCCTGATTTACGATTAGAAAATGTCGGGTAAAGCAAATTATGGAAAATCTCAAGATACCGTGCCCACTCCTCTTCACTCATATCAGCCAGTTTGACAAAACTGGTGCTTCCAGGTAGCTGTTCATTCACACTTCTGTTTCCAGATGATGTGCCAGCCAAATAGCCACTTTTCTGCATTGCACCCTCATGCCTCCAACTCTTTTCTCCAATGCTTACATTTTTCATTGACATTGACAGTCTTGGAACAGTTGGAGCCCGATCCTGAGCAACAAAAGCATGTTCATCTGACCTTGGAGGTATTACATTCTCCTCATCATCTGTCCATTCCTCCGCATTCTCATCTAGCTTGGAAAGTGGATTCCGGATATTTCCACCTAGTGGCCTACAATGAGCATGGGATGCCAACTTCTTTTCTACATTAGAAGTTAAATCAACTTCTTCCTCACAGTCAATTTCAAACTGAAACTTACTTTCTCCAGCTTTCACATTATCGGAAAGCATATTCCTTTCCTCCAACAATCTTCTCGCCTCAATACATATGAACTCAAGCTCACTTGGCTCCTCCTCCTGGCCTTGAAATTCCCTGCTCATCATCTCACCAATCTCAGCTAAACACAGACCAAAAACTGCTGCTGTTTTGAGGAAAATTGTGCAAACAACCAAGACGCGAAGACATGCCTCTCGAATCATTGGAAGCTCCATTCTAAGCATTTCAGAATCTCGAAATGGATCAAGATGAGATATATATTCAAGCTCATCCTCTGAGAAAGGAATTGATGCCTGCGGCCAATGGATCCACTCAAAGTAAGGGTCCTCCAGGTTTTCTGGAAGGCATAGACCATGATCAATCGGAACAAGCTCCACTTGACTCAGTCCTCCATCTCCATCAATTTTCCTGACCAGAAGATTTCCAGCATGCCTATCAGTGTTCAAGATGCGAATATCTAATATCCCTATCCTGTGTACAGAAGAAACTGGAAAGCTTGAAGTCCCGTGATCACTGGCATCAAAATCATGAGGGATGAACTGCTGCAGAGAAGCAATCTTGCTAACCTCCTTTTGCTCTTGCTGCTTGTTTCCATTCACTCCGTCATTCACATTAAAAATAGAGTGTGTGACCTTCACAAGAGCAGTAGAGGGCACATTGGCAAAATTATCATAGTCAAGAAGATAAGCTGCAACCTCCCTAAAGCCGGTCTCTCCAACACGTACCGAGCGTTTCAGTCCCGGCTGCCCAAGGGATTTGCCAACAAAACCTTTTGGGTTGTTTGGGGCATAAGGTTCTTCATCAGTTGGTTTCACAATTGCACAATTTTCACCCTGGCAATTTCGAAAATAGTAGGCACCTCCTAACCCACCACATACTGGAAGGGGATCAATGCCAATCTTCATTGCCTTCACAATTTCCTTTACCAGTTTTTTTGTCCTGGAAAAATTATTTGAACATACTAATATCTCAATAGGACCACTCTGATCTCTCTGTTGAATATCCTTGCCGGTTGGTGAGAGGCATGGAGTAGATGAGCTTCTGTGCATGAAGTTTTTCGTGAGAAGAAGTGGAGAATCATTCCTTACAGTACTTAGGTCATTCTTCAGCACCACATCCCCATATACGAGAGACCTCTCCTCTATTGGAATATTAAGAGCAACTTGTAGTTTCCTTTTCACAGTATGCGCATTGTCACTCCTATCTAACTCTATACCAAGAACACAGCCAGTTTCAGTCTGAACAAATACACGTCTTCTTCCAGAAGGTGATCTTTCCATTCTCTTATTTCCACAACATTCACCATTAAAGAGTCCCTTAAATGCTGCAACAGCCATCCAGTTATAACAGAGCAGTTTGGATCAAGATATGTGAAATGAAGAGGAGAACCGGTAGAGTTTAGTGCCAGCAGTGGAGATGGCGACAGCAGAGAGCTTTTCTCTCAAGCAGACGCCAAACTTAAATGCTGGCAAAACTTGAATGGAAAAGTTGGCGTTGTAAACTTTCATAATCAACCCAGTTGAATTCGATTGGTAAGTCTTAATTTTACATTGGAACAGATTCTGTAAAGTAAAAGCAGATATAAAATGTCGTGAAACTGCTGCATCAAGGAAGCAAGCCAATACTGCTGACCAATTGAAAGAAAAAAGAATCATTAGAAGAATCACAAGAAAAACAATTTAAAATTAAAAAGTAAAAATGAAAGTAAAAGCTAAATAAATTTCATTTTCAAATATTAAAAAGAAAAAGAAAATTTGAGGCCTATATATATTAAGAAGTAACCATAAGGACACAAGCAATAATACAAGTCTTTTTGACCAAAAACAAAGCACTCTATAAACATTTTACTAAAGTAATTTTGTTGTAATTTCCACATCTAAATTAACAGCTATCTAGCAAAGACACCTAAAGAACCAAAGTTGAAGTAAATTTGGTTTATAAAAGAGAGAAAACAAAACATACCCAAACTTACTTAAAACAATAATATTCAAAATTATATATATATAAAAAAAAAAAAATGCTTTGTCATGATATCAAAATATTACTATCAAGTTATAAATTTGCTCATCTATCCTAAATGTTGAAAAGGAAAAATAAAATAATAGACCACATATACTTTCCAGGCTTGGAAAAGTGCTAAATATTTCCTCTTCAAACTTGCCTTCATAAATTCAGACGCCAATCGGACTTGAACAATCACACTTTAGAGAAAACAAATCAAAGATTACGCCAATCGGATTTGACCAATTATGCTTTAGAAAAAAGTAATCAAAGATGCAGCCATGCTAGAAACTAGCTACTAAACCAGGGAGTGTGAATTAGAAAGAAAACAAACAGAATTAGAAGATTAAATTGGTAGACCATAATTTATGTAAATCATTATCGCAAATCATAGTTTATATCTAGAAGTAAAATTATTCATTTTGGTTTTCTAAAAGAATTATTCTTCAAAAATATTGTTTGTTTCTGTATCCGGACGCCTTTTTTTCATTTTTTTCATATGAAAGTAAAAATCAAATAGCAAAACCAACGACAAAATAAAGTCTAAATCATTGTCAATCATAATCCTTGATTAAGAAACTATAAAGATTCATCTTCATAGATTTTGAAAATAAAATTCTAAAAAAAAGGAGAGTATTAACATTTAATCAACTAATCCAAAAAACTTATTCCTTTTTCCGAAGAGTTTATATGATTTACGAAATCATAATATTAACGAAAATAATTCAAGAAAAGAGACGCTTCAATTTCATTCTTCGAAATTCAAAGATAAGTACATAAATAAATTAAAAGAAAAGAAAAAACTACATGCATTAATCAAAAATAATAATCATTATACAGGAAGTGAGGACGCAGGGACTCACTGGCGATGAGAAAATGGACGGCGAGCAGCGACCGAGAGAGAGCTACAGCCGCTGATGAGATTAACGGTGGAGATTCAGCAGTGAGAAGTTATATCAAAGGCTATGATCGGATGAGTTTTTTTTTTTTTTTTTTTGTTCTCCTTCTGTGTCCCTCTCCCGCTTTTTGAGATTTGTCTTTTAACTTCTTGTCAAGAGAAGCGGAAGGAGTTTTAACGGTTAAATATTAGAAAATTATTTTTAAAATTTGTTATTGGGTGGAACAACCACGTGGATGATTCAGATTGTGCCATGTAAGAGGAATTTTACGTGGTGAGACCTTAGATGAGTGGAGCAGTTATTGAGTTTGTCCCCTTATTCGGGAAATCTAGGATTAGGAAGAGGTTCGTTTTTTATTTTTCTTAAAAATAAATTTATTAATAATAATGCCGATTAGAAATATCTGGAAGATCTAAAAATTGAAAAGAAAATTAAATGAGAAAAAAAGAATACATTTCTTAAAAAATTTATATCTGATAAATGATCAATAAATAAAATTTATTTATTGTTAAATTAAATGATAATATTTTATTAATGAGATAAATTATTATATTTATTCATTAATGATTTATACACTGAATATAAATTTTTTTAAATATTATCTCATGTCCTGTTTATGAAATTTTTTAGATTTTACCTACAAAATTAGACTATCTTGGGAGGACTAATGCTTAATTTATGAATAAATTTTTAGGATGTTGAGCATTTCAGGATTATAATTTTTATTTTATTTGAATGAAGACTAAAGTCGTAGCAATTTAAAACTTTTTAGGTTAAAAAAAAAAAAAAAAAGAAATGCGCACGTTATAACATACTTAGAGATTTAATATCGTGCTGACATATTTTTTTATTGTTGATTTGACTATCCAAATGGTACAAATGATTTTATATTGGCAAAATATAAATTAAAGCTTAATTTTTAGATGTTAAACCTTCGATTGATTAAAAAACCAAATCAGAGTGAAAACATTTAGGAGAAAGAACAAAATTATAACAAACTTTTATAAATTAATCAGATTTTCAATTGGCAAAGCAACTAACTCAAATCCACGAAGTCGATCAAAACCTGAACAAATTATTCAACAAAAATTTAAAACCAAAAAATTCAAGTATTATCGAATCTAATCTCTAAGAATTCAATTGTGACGTTTCCTTATTAAAGTTTTTAAGTCTTGGCTTTGTCGTGCTCGAATCATTCTTTCACCAGCGGACCAAACAAGATCCACACCATCTCATGCACCAAAAGAAAATCTTATGGTTAGATTTAATAGTATCTATTGAAAATTAATAATGAGTCAAATTAGATAAAAATGAATTTTCACTCAATCTAACTTTTTAATATTTACATTCAATTTCAATTCAATCTAACATAAAATAATTATTTTTTTATTTAATCTCATTTGTACTTTCATAAATCGTAATCATTCAATTTAAAATTAATTTAATATAATATTTATAAAATATTATTTTTAATATAAATTATATTTTAATTATATATAAATATAATTTTTTAATTAAATTAATATCTTAAGTTAAAATATTAAATAATAATTTTATTAATATAATATATATAATTAAATAAATAATAAAAAAAATATTTTTTTTATAAATACTTGGGTCAATTTAAGGCAGAATAACCTAAAACTCAATTCAAACTTAAATTCTATTTTGAAAAAAACTTGATCCTATCTGATTTAATTTTTTTTTTCAAAAAATATTTAATGCTATCAAATTGAAATGAATTAAAATTTATTGAATATGAATTATTTTATCATTACTAATTAATATTCATTTAGAGCAAAAAACAAAAAACCACGAAAAAAGGCAGAGAGTTTTCAATGCCTAATTTCAAGTTGATCAAATTTTGGTTGATTTTGGGGATTGAGGGCTGAGAATGTGATTTTTTTTAAAAAAAAATTTGGTAGAAAGAAAATTGATAAAGATAGGATAATGGATATTTCAAATAGTACTATTTTTTTTCTTTTGGTATTTTGGTTGGCTCTTGAACTGATAATTCTTGCTTGATAATTAGGAATAAGCAAAATGGTTTTTTTTTTTTTTATGAAAGTAATTATTTTAAGTTGACTTAGTATGGTTGATTCCTAGTTGAGATAAGAAAAAAAAAAAAGGGGAAAATAAGAGAGACAATAGAGAAGCAGATTTGATAGGAAAAAAATGGTGAAAGGTTATGGGATTTGAAGAACTAGAGAGACAGAGAGTGAAGTGTTAGAGAAAAGATGAGAAGAAAATGAATGTAACATTTAATTTTTATTTAAAAATCTTTTATTGTTTTATGAGTCAATCTTTTCTTATCAAATGTTATATTTTTTGCCATATGTTACAGTTAAAAGAGTTCTACGCATGTATATCACTATCATTAAAAAATCTTAATTTTTTATAACCCAAAAACGTTTAGCCTTGATTTAGATGAAATAATACAAATAATTATGAAATGAGCATCAACCTAAAATTGTACTCTTAAATTGAACATTTAGCTTGTGAATATGGACCAACTAAATCAAATCAAGCCTAATTAATTTTTTTAAAATATTTGTTTAAGATTTCACTTGGTACATCATATTCATTATTTTAATTTTTTTAAAAAATATTAAAATATTAGTAATATCTTAATATTTTAAATGCATTTAAATATTAAAATTAATTAAAAATATTTTTTATTCATTAAATAATATCTTAAATCAAATTTAATTTAATTTAAATTTTAAAAATTTTATCCAAAACTCAATCTTAATTAGGTTGGTAAAAAGCCCAATTCGCGTATTGAATGATCCTCACAAATTTTACTAATGGAACAGAGAATAGTAGTAGTTTTTAAAATTTTTACCCAAAAGGATTAAAAAAAAAAAAGGAAAAAAAGATGAATAGCAAAAGTCATAATGATATAGGAATTTACATCTCATCTTAATTTTATTTGTTAAAATATTCAATAGTAATTTAATTTAACTTACATCTCATCTTAATTGCTTGACCTAATAATCAAGTAAGTCTTAAATAAGACATAGGGCTGGAGTTCGACCCAGCCTCTCCCCCTTTCTTATTAATGTTTATTAATGTAGGGTTTTGTTCCACTTGAAATAAAAAAAAAAATTAAATCAACTAATAATATAAGTATATATTATGCCAAAAATTTGTTTGTCAATACGAATAACAAATTTTTTTTCATTTAAAAAAGTTTAGTTAAATTTCATTATGGTGCCCAAATAATTAATTGATTTATGAGAAATTAAATTGTAAAACACTACATTATAAAAATTACACAAGTAAATCTTATTCTTTTTGTTCATAAAAAAATCATATTTTATATTTTCTATCATTAGTAACTTGTGGTAAATACGAGTATGTCATATAATGAAATATAACCTTCTCGTTTATCTTAACTAAATCATTTTATTCCAAAACCAAAATGTTTATTAAAATTTAACAATGTGTTTGATATACAAAATGATAAACAAAAAAAATGATAATTATTTTATTTTATTTATGATTCAATCTTCTCAAATTAAAAAATTTAATTTTAATTTATAAGATTGGTAACAAATATTTTATATTTTTATAATATCTTCAAAACTTAGAGTAAGAAATTACTTAAACTAATGAAAATACAAGTACCATGATTTAATTGGTTAATTCAACTTTTTTTTCTTTTTTTCATTTCAGTTTTCGGCTTTATTTTTTATTTTTCATTTTTTTCCTCCTTTCCTTCCTCACCATCGAGCAAGGAGTCGGACCACAGTCCGACCCAGGATCCCTCAACGAGGGGCAGAACTAAAGCTCACACTGCTAAATCGGTGCTTGGAGGTTCCAAATCTAGCCCCACGTGGAGTAGAAGCCTTTGGCCTTCTCGCATCAGTCACTGCTGCAGCACCATCTAACGACTATGACAACTTCATTCGTTTAGATCTAGCCTTTTCGTTCGGCGACTAATGCCTCGTTAGCGAGAGAAGGAGAAAAGAAAGGAAATAATAATAATTTATTTTTTATTTTTTGAAAAATAATTTATTTTTTAATCAATTTACTTTGATTGTTTTAAATTAATTATTTTTTTTGAAAAAATACATTTAACTTTTAACAATATAAATTTTTATAAATTATTTTTTATTTAAAAATTTTTAATTATTTTTATAACAAAAATTATAAATGTAAATTATATTTATTTTGATGAATGGTAATTTGGACAAATAAAAATATCCGCATACACTTTATCTTATGCATTACAAACATTTTAAATGAAAAAGATATCATATCTTAATTTTTGTACATATTAAATATCAAAACAAGATGACTTTTTATTAGATAAAAGATGATATTATTTAATTCAATCCAATTCAATCCTATCATATCCACAATCTTATTTTATTCTATTTTATGTTAAATTTTATGCACCAAACATATCATAATGATATCTCAACAAGTCAATATGAGTATTTTTATAGTACTTATTTGTAATTTATCTTGTAAGTTGATATGGATAAGAAAGTTAAAAAGAACTTTAAATTTGGAAACAACTTTCAAGTGTACAATTTATATTTGTATCTACAAACAAAAAAAAAATGATAAGTAATAGTCATAATGGTTTAGGAATCTCTAGACGAAAATTTTAAAATTTTTAAAATAAGAAGAGTCACCATCAATTTTTTTATTAAGTGTTGTTAGTTATCTAAAATGTTTATCTTTTTAATAAAACCTTAAAAACTAATTAAGATTTATTAAAAAGATAATTTTGGTCTTTAAAAATAAAATTGAGTTCAAAGTATGATTACGTATAAAGATAAGTACCCTCACAACGTTTGTTAAAAAAAGTATCAACTAATCATATGTTATTCCTTATATTTATAAAAATGGTTTTAATTTGAATATTTAAGATAATTCCCTTAAATCTTTTTTTTTGCATAAATTTTTTTAAAACCTTTTATTTAGGAATAAAATGAAAATCTTTAGTTTCGAAACATTTCTAAATTTTTTAATATTTAAGCAGAATTTCAAAAAATATTTCTTTACTTGAGATTTTCACAATATTTCTTAAAATCTAGTTTAATATTCCTTTATAAAAAATAATTATTGTAAAGCCTCCAATATTTAAAAAGGGTCCCAAAAATTAATTTTT